AGTGGGTACCCGTTATTTGATTATTATTTATTTTTAATTAATAACAGTAATGTCATAAGGGCAATTTTTACAACGTAAATTAAAATTAAATATATATGTTACAGGAAATGTATGAATTCTAGGAATTGTATACTATTCCTAGGAAATGTATACAATTCCGAAGCTATTTAGGAAATGTATAAAATATTGCTTCAGAGATTTTTTAATACGCACATATCCTAGGACATGTATACTTTTCCTAGGAATTTTATAGAATTCCAATATTGTATTAGGAAATGTATAAAACTAAGCGACACAAGCACGGTCGTGTGATCGGGTGCCCCTCAGTAGGTACGTCTAAAATTTCATTTAGCCAAACCACATTGGCCGATAGGTACTTTTAACTCACAACTATTATTGTTTAGCCTGAAAGTTGTTTTCACACTATTATACTTTGACTGAAAAAATATTTGCCTATTGGCATACCTTTCTTTCGGCATCACGCATAATATTACGCTGAAGTATTGGAAAACCCTAATTTTAACATCTCTTTTATTAAACTGCTATTAGCATGAAGGTTTTAGTACTCCTGTAGCTGGATAACAAAGTCTCGGTTAGGTTAGGTTAGACTTGCGACCGTACACATACACAGCGGCCGCGGCGCGGTAGCGCCATTTAAGTTTCGGAGAAAAAAAAGAAATCTTAATTACATTTCCGATTGCTGTTTAGGAAATGTGTAAATTTCCTAGGAAATGTGTCTAATGTAATTTACATCACACATTTCCGGGTGATTTTAGGACTTATACACAAATCCTAGGAATTGTATACAATGACGGATTTCATACATTTCCTGTAACATATATAAACATAACGTTTCCATTTTTCACCGTCAAAGTTCTTCCAACCTGTCCGTTACATCCTGTATAAAATATCTCCGAGAAGATAAAACTGCCCCTGGTGCTGAAATATTATTATACTTATCTCGGGAGTTGATTTTTAAGTGAAATATAAGCCTGCAAGTGATATGGTGGAAATTATAGAAGGTCTTTGATTCTTTGCATTTGAAAATTTCAGTATATTTTCTATGTAAACAAATAAATTAAAAATTAAAGATAACGCACAAAAAACACTGAAGCTTTACAGTCACTTGGACTGCGCATTTTACTTTTCAATAAGTCTGCGTTGAAATAACATTTAACTCAATTTCGCATTCTGTTTGATATTCGTGAGATTTTTAAAGTGAACATTTTTAACGTTAAAAGATAAAATTTGTTGAACCACTTTCAAAATATGTAATGCAAATTCAAAGGTAAACGTGTTCAATTTATGGGAATAAAAATATTGTAGTTTTAATGCTAAAAGCCGCTCTGTGGAAAATGTAGAGTCAACATGAATTCATATTTATTTTTTATACATACATATAAATTAAGTTTCTTGCTCAATGTACTATATTTAAATGCCATTTTTGATTCCAATGCGCAATGCCTAATAAAACACACTAACTTAAACAAAACTACGTGTATCTTATGTAATAATTTTAAGAAAGAACAGAACCAGGCTAAGCTTAAGTACATTTTTCTCATGTTGCTTTTCTCCTACACTTGTATGGTTTTGTGGCAAAGCTTATGGCAAATAACAAAAACGAGCGCTGTTTGCTATACGGTCAAGCACAAGGAGCTTGTTTTTACAATGTGGTGCCGTTCAAGTATTACGTAAGCAGATTTCTTACCGGCCGGCTTCGCGTATGCGGACTACGACTCTCTCAATGGGCAGTGTCGGCACGAGAGTTAATTATTGGACAAGTGAATAGCGCACGGTAATTTCCCTAATGTGCGGTAATTCCCCTAATCAGTTCTCAGAGCGAGTGCCTACGCATATGTATTATTTGCGGGAATCCCCGAAAAAACGTAAATAACTTACTATCATCATCTAGACCCCCTTAGCCCCCATGTCATGCAAAATAGGCAAAACAGAGAATCCAAATAACTCCAAAAAGCTATCCCCTGAGACTGCTAACCTTTTATTTTTATTTTATTGTTTTCATTGGCAACCATTTATAGATCCTGGCTATCTAAGCAGTTGCAGAGAGGAACAAGAAGTAGAACTTGTTCGGCATATTTATACCGTGGGTCGAATCATTCGTGGTGCGAAAAGCTTTAGTCCCAAAAAATATTCGTTTTCCTCGGTAGCATAAAACCGACACCGACAGTCCAAAATCACACGGACGGAACTGCGTGAAAAGCTAAAAATAACTTCTGATTAAATAAAATCCTCGTACAATGAACTTGCTATGGACCCGATGGCTACGGGAATAGGTACTTTTATGTCTCCATCCATGGACTCCATGAAAAAACAATACAACTACATAGAACACCTTTGTTCCATTATTCGAGTTATATCAATTTCCACTTGCATTGGCACAAATAAACCCTACAAAGAGTTTTGATTGCCATTCAAGAGCAGAAGAAACAAGACCATTGAGTTGAAAATTGATAAGTTTAAAATATAGGAAGGGAGAAGTTTTCTGGTCATATAGATAGGTACCTACTTTCAAATTGTTATTCGCAAAAACAAGATTCTCAAAAATATTCGCAAAAACAAGATACAGTACGAGTAGTACTGTATTTTTATTTCTGGATAGAATATGCATGTTTCCCGTGAATGTACACGCCACTGAACTCTGTCCAGTGTTTTCAACTGAATTTTTACGTTTCAGAAAGCTTGATAAAAATCTATATTTGTTTAAGTCTTATGTTTCCCCAATAGAGTTCCGTACCCAAAGCATGCAAAACTAGACTTTATTATTGTGGTATACGTCCGTTTTTCTGTAGCGGGATGTAAGTAGATAAAAAACTTTAATTCTACGAGTAGGTATGTCGCTACACCAAAAATAATTAAAATTTTAAAAAATCAAATTAAGTCCCCAATCACAAAAAGAAAGGTGTTGAAATATTGGTTCAACATTACGTTCAACATTCGAACGGATCCCACAGTGTATGAGTTCGGCTCGAACTTTTCCGTTTTAATACACAATTTTGCAGAAATATGTATTAAGCTTATGCCACGAAATATTTTTTTGTGTTAATAAAGCTCTTTGCCCGGACTTCCTAATTTCCCTACACGGGGCGCAACGGATTTTTTAATAAGTCCGCCAAATTCGTACCAGGATGGTGAGGTCAGTTAAAATTGCAACCCAAGTTTACTAATTTACATAGTTAATATTCGCCATATTAAAAAAATCCCTATTATGCACTTTGTACAGTGTAATCTGCCCGCATCTTAATACTTCCCGCGACCTTCACCAGATCGTCGGTCTAACTTGAACTAGTTATGGAAATCCTTGGCCTTTGTTAAGCAGTGGACGTCATTCGGCTGAAACGAAGAAGAAGACAGTGTAATCTACCATGGCTCCAGCTAAAACTTTAGTCTAAGGCCCAGAACAGACGGTGAAACGCAACTGCAACGAAACTGCAACTTTGTGATGATTCTGATGAATGAAACTGAAACTGAAAGTTTCAAACTGGTCGCGTCATGTGTGGTGACTCAACGGACGCTATGGCAGAAACTTAGATGCAACTCAAAAGTAACTAGCAGTTGCAGTTTCGTTGCAGTTGCGTTTCACCGTCTGTTCTGGGCCTAACACAAATGTATACTGCGATTGTCAACAGTACAAACATAATATCCTACTTACTATGCTAACTAAATTGTTTCGACTTAGCGTTGTAATTCGACAGTGCTTTGAACGGACAACAAATTTTAATAGAGAATCATCTGGCATAGAGACTCGGGGTGAATTGTCCAACGAAGTGAGCTATCCCTGTGTGATTGCCCTATAATTTAATAATACGATTTAAACTTTGGCGACAATAGCAGTGCCAGTGTCGGACTCGGTCGATACTTCAATCGAACCCGGTCTGAACCCTGAACTGTTGTGATGGATCCGCTCTACACCCACTCCACACAAGCATAACACATGGGGTAATGGGAGTTTCTATTAACAGGTAATTCTTGTCCTGAGTAACTTGCCTTGGACGAATATTTGAGGGGTGTAAAGGTATTTTTATTGTAATTTTGAGGGCGTAAAGGAAATCTATCTCAGTAAATACAGCTCTAGTCCAGTTTTATAATACTTCCTCGGAAAATGCTGTGAATTCTAAGCACTTTTCTTTCTTAGTAATATTTTAATAGCTCAAAAAACAAAAAAGTTACTGTCAAATAAACAACTATACATATAAACGTTTTTTGCTTCTCCTGAAAAGTCGGGGTAAATAGTCGTACTTTGTCCTTTACGACCTTTGAGCAGAGGTATCGATTTGTGCAAAAATAATAAAATAAAATAATTTGATTGTTTCTATTTCGTTTTTCGTAATAAAACCCGGATACCGTAAGCTCTCAGCATCTCTCATTTGTAACGAATGAACAATACGTGCGCGACGCTTGTTTACAGAGCCTGTATGGAAATATCACGCGCGTGATAGCAATAAGATTAATGGGATTTATGTGCCTGTATAAAGTATAATGTAAAGCAAACAAATTTATTTATTTCATCTTTAATACGACGTAGTACATAATAAGAAGAACTTAAGCTAAGTAACTATAAAACTATTATACACTGGCCTTTAAAGTTGATAAGGAGACAGACGTGAAACATAAAAGCAAGCAAAAGTGTTTACTTTCCGTGTAAAATACAAGAAATATTGATTAAACTTGCAAAAGCTGAAGTAAGAATACCGGTACTTAAAATTCTGCCCCGTACTGATTCCTGAAGGACAGCTGGCTTGGTGTGTTTATCAACCTACGAATCTCTTTGTATTGGTTTGGAGTCTCTGATTAGTTTTCTCTAAATAATAGCTACTCGTGTTTATATTTTTTTATGTAGGTACATCCACTTTCATAGTAAAAGCTTGATGGCAGTGTGGGACATTTACAGTTCCCTCGTTTCTTGTGTATTGTGGCTCTGTGTTCAGGCCATTTTAAGTCTATTTCCATTCCTAATAGCGTTCTATTTCCATTGTCACCAGAGAAGTGCCCGGCGCGCAGCGGCATCGCTCACGTGCGCCTGCGCCGCTCGGGCCGCCGCGTGCTGGAGCGCGCGCGACGCCGCACGCTGCGCATGACCGTCACCATCGTCGCCGTGTTCGCGCTGTGCTGGCTGCCGTACGCTACCATGGCCATGTGGTATGTGACACTTCATATTCACTAAGTGAATAAACCCTCGTTAATTAATAAAGATAAAAAAAAAGTGACACTTCAGGCTCAGTCCCCAAAAACTGTTTTTTTATGCATAACAAGGCAGTTATTTGACCACAATCGCACCTGATGTTAAGTGGGATGCAGTCTAGAGCAGTGCCAGACCAATTTCAGAGGTGGCAGCAGTATTCCATGCAGGGTCGGATCTGTGCTTAAAACTATTTTTCCACAACGAGGAAGCTCTTGGCGTGTATCTTACCTGATGGTAAGTGCTATATAGTTATGTTACTAAGTGCACTGCTACCTTTATAGTATGCATTATTGTCTGTGACAGTTTGTTGTCGATGACAGCCTCCCGGTGTCTATGATTGGTAATAGTTTNACTATTGGAGCCGAGTACCATTAGCAAAAAAGTATGTATATCTTCGTACACAACCAGATCTGAGGCTGGTGGTCATAGTAAAAGTTGTTCATCTTGGTAAGACCTTTCAAACGATACTAGACACATATCTATTGGAGCCGGGTACCATTTTGCCCATTGTCCTTTGGCATGCAGGTAGATGTTATGACGTAGGCATCTGCTAACAAAGGATTTTACGAGACTCCACCCCTAAGGGGTTAAAACGGGATTCACGCGTACGAAGTCGCGGGCGGCCGCTAGTATTAAATAATTGTGAAATAAGGCGAATATCTTGATTTATTAGACAAACAACAAATATTTGCAAAGTTACGTTAGATGATTGGGAGGTTCCGAGAAGTTTAATATCTCAATGAAAGAAAGGAAAATATTTAGGGACAACACAAAACGAAGAGCATAAATATGTAATGTACAAATAAATGTATTGATTGTCTATATTATGTAGAAATTATCAGATAAGCAACAAATTATTAAAAGCTTCAAAAGTATTTGCGGCTTAATTTTATTTACGCAACGGGCTGTAAGACGTAGTGCTATATAGTTATGTTACTAAGTGCACTGCTACCTTTAAAGTATGCATTATTGTCTGTGACAGTTTGTTGTCGATGACAGCCTCCCAGTGTCTATGCATTGTAATAGTTTGTGATACGTAATAAAACGTACCTTCAATTAATGTGGTGTATTAATTAATTACTACTACACAAATTAGTTATAACATTTGGCGACGATTGTAAACGGAACACGTGTGAAAAATTTCGAAAACAAAACCTGAAGACCAGCCACAGTTCTCAAAATTTAAAGTTGCTTTTGATGGATTTGGTGAACGAGTGCATCAAACTAGGAAAAAAAGCATGGATTCAGGAGAAAACTAAAGAAGAATTAATTGAAATAGCAAATAAATTAGCCGAAAAGACATTATTTTCGAATTCGGACCCTATTAAAGACGTCAGGAGCTATTTACGGGAATATATAGACGCTCTAAAAACAAAAGACGGAGTGCCCAACGTAATCATGGCGTCCATTACCAGTTTAGAGATATTTTCTGGTGAAAATTGGAATGCATATCAGCAACAATTCGAGTGTTTTATTCTACTGAATGAGGTGCCTGAAGAAAAAAAAGTACCATTACTTATTACAAAACTTAGTACGAATGTTTACGACTTGCTAACAACGTTATGCACACCGACATCACCAGTAAAAGAAACTTACGAAGAAATATGTGAAAAACTCAGAAAATATTATCACCCGGTAAAAAACTACGCTTTACACCAAGCAGAATTTCGAAAGAGATGCCAAAATCCAAATGAGACTATTGACCAATATATTGTGGAGCTAAAGAAACTCTCAAAGAATTGCAATTTTAGAAATCTAAATGAAGAGATTAAAGAAAGATTACTAAATGGTATCTACTTGGACACCGTGAAGTTCGAATTACTGAAACAAGCTGATCAACCATTAGAAACTCTGATTAGTATTGGTAAAACAGTGGAGACTGCTTTTAAGTTAGCGTTCAATCATGAAAAGAACCAGGAACAAACACAAATGTTTCAATTACAAGGGAAGAACTTGAATAAGAATAAATCTAATGCGTTCCGGCAGAATACAATACCAATGAATAAACAAAATGTATCCTGTTTTTGCTGTGGGAAGAGCGGCCATATGAAACTACAATGTTCACTCCGTGAAAAGTTCTGCAGTGAGTGTGGTATCAAAGGTCATATCTTTAGAGTGTGTGCTAAAAATAAGTCTGTGAAAGTGAAAAATGTGAATTTAGTGGAAGCTACGTGCCAGGAAAATAATGCTGGTGAGGACAATAAAGAGAAAAATAGTAGAGAAGAAACTGAGGTATTTGACATTTTTTATTTTAGTGATGAAAGTAAGATCCCATCAGCTACATTGCAGGTTAATGTAAATGGAAATGTTTTAGAATTCTTAGTAGATACTGGTGCTGATGTGAGTACTATTACATTGGCGGACAAACATACTTATTTTCAAAATTTAGAAATCAAACAGTGCAATGTAATATTTACTAATTTTGATAAGTCGACCTCAACTCCTATGGGGGTAATTGAGAACCTAGATATTGGTTACCAGACTGTAAATGTTAATGGTCAAAGACTTTTTGTAGTGAACAATGGGTTACCTAGAATAATAGGAAAAGAGTGGCTTGCAATGTTGCAGTTATGGCCCCCAAGATTTGATCAAAATATTTGTGAGGGAGTTACTAAAGACAAATTATTGAATACCATTAAAACTGAATATTCTACCTTATTTGAACCAGGTATGGGAAATTTCAATGGGGAACCAATTCATTTGTCAATTAAACCAAATGTACAACCAATATTCATGCCTGTCAGGACTGTTCCATTTGCGTTGAAGAGTAAAGTTAAAGAAGAGATTGAACGTTTAGTGGCTAATAAAAGGATTGAGCCAGTGGAGTACTCAGATTGGGGTACTCCAGTGGTGCCAGTCCTAAAACCAGATGGAGCGGTCCGGTTATGTGGTGATTTTAGAATAACTATCAATAAGTATTTGCAAATTGACCATTTTCCTTTGCCTACAATTAATAATATTTTNATTTCAACGCGTGAAGATGTTTATGTGTGTTCATGTCAAACTAGCGGCGGCGCGCGCGTTTCACTCACGACGTCAGGTAAGTTCAACCAGTTTGATCTTGTCGCTAGAAACGATAGCACGTTTTTATCATGTCGTTCAATACAGAAGAGTTTATTAGTGCTATTCAGGCTAGAACTCCTATTTGGCAAAGTAAGTCATCATAATTATGAACAGAAATGTTGTTTAGTTGATAACGATAATATTAATTAAATTAAATAATAAAGAGGAACCTTGTTTGAATTTGATTTTGATTGAAAATTATAAATTACTTACTAAGAAAATCTTTTTTTTAAACTCACCTTATAGTTACAAAACACCAATTCTAATTTTTAGCATCTCCCACTTTAGGTATGAATTTTCGGTTAAAAATAAAAGATCGTCGTCCATAATTCGACCTCTGACAATACGTCACAATCGCGCGAACGCCTGGTCGTCAATATGAACACGAGCTCGCGACGTTACCCGCGCCCGCGCCCGCGCCCGCGCCCGCGCGTGCCTACGTGAACAAGCACTAAGATCTGAGCTTCAAATGGTTATTTCCTCAAAAACACCTTTTTGCGTCTTAAACGACATACTTTACGCAAAGAGCTTGACAGGTGAAGAAAGAAGAAAGAAAGAGTGAGCCACTTTACTAGCCTAAAATCTAGAATTCGAACTAACTCACTGCATCGTACTGCAGGGAAATGTATTATGCATCGCCCTAGCGTGCCCACACTTTGAAACAATGTTGTTCTTAACGAATTTTCCGTTGCCACGTTTAATATCGCCAGGTAAATTTTCGTTTGTTGAGTAGCGGGACTTTCGTGAAGCTTTTATAATGTTAGTTGCTCATATTTCTGATTGGAGACAGTAATTTGAAATTGCTTTATCTACAAAGTAAGCCAGAAAAAGCCGTCAAATGGAAAATATTTTAGTGGTACGAGCATATTATTGTGCAACAGAGATAAGTTTTTTTTTATACTCCTATATAGCCATAATCTACAAGCTCGACGAATAAAGACCCCATCAGTGTTGGGTTTTGGGGTTAGACCAAAATGATTTTTTGCAGTATAGGCTTGCTCTTACATAACAATCTCATACAACATTTTCTGACGCCCATTTAGTTTGAAACTAACGTATCCATCTCTTTCTCAAAACCAATTAGCAACGTAGTACACCATTAAACCAATTTACTGTCACAAAGAACACTAACTTCTCTCACAAGGACTTCGTAACAGCACGTCATGAATGCTGAAAGTACTAGGAAAGTTGTGCTTTATAAACTGTTCACACTACACTCGGTGTTCCCACTTAGAGTCCTTGGAAGTTGGCGGCAGTCGTTTTGCGAAATTGAAAAGAATAGTTCGCTAACTAAGCAACGCGGTACTGAACTAGCCTTGGGGCTAGGCTCCCAACAATTTAGCCCTCGAAAACTTTGGCTGTATGCTAATTGGCCTGTTTATGTGTAGCGAAGAGTTTGGCCTAGTGTTCGCTGTTGTTAATGAAATAGGTTTGTGGCTTGGTTAGTTGAAGTTATATTATTAACCTAATTTATAATTTAATGTTGACACATACAATATAACATTTTTTTAATGCAATAAAGCCAAAGCTTTACAAATTACTAAGATTAGGACGTTGGGCATGCATGCAAAACGTAGGTATACATTTACAGACATAATAATTATTGCAATTGGTTGCTTTACTAGGTACTCATGTGTCTTTAGCTCAAAGCCTGTCACCTTGCTTCTACTCTCTTGTCACTCTAGCTCCGAGTGTATGTCCAGCGCGGACACTAACGACATCTTATTGCGGAACTTGGGCTGCCCAGTGCCTGCGCAGTACACTCACTATACTCATAAATCTCACAATATTCCTTCAACTTAAAAATATTTACTTACTTTCGTGGAAAGATTTAATCAATATTAATACAAAATTTACACTCACACAATGTTTAAGTGTTGAGAATCATTTAAAACAAAGTTTAACTTGCTGTGCTAAAT